TTTAATGGCATCAATAGTTTTTACTTTTAGCTAAGAATACTTCTTGGACATTGTGAGTGACAGCTATGATGGCCCAGTCTGTGCAGTCCTCTTCAGTGGCACCTTCTCTCTGGTTCTAAAAAGATCAGAAATTAGAGAAGATAGACTTTGTTATTAAGTTACATGTGCAAAAAACCAGTCTCCTGTAGCCCAAGCTGAGGCTTGAGCTTCATGATCATACAGTGCTTGGTTGTCTCGAACCATCCTGGAGCACACAGATATGCCTTTCCCAAACAAATGAGCTTCATTTGAGCTGATTATTAATGTTACCATGATAGGTATGGAGCATCTGGTCTTAAATATAATTATGTTAATATAACATTAACTAGAACCTAGATTCAGTAGGAAGTGCTGGCTTGCAGTTTCAGAGAGTGAGTGCAGGTGGGAGTCTCTGCAAATACCATGGCCAGCAGAGTATTGATCCATGATAGACAAGAAGGAAGTCCAGTTCAGCATGACTAAGTAGCTGGCATTGGTTCAAACTTCGGGAGCCTGGCACCAATTTTTTTTCAGGCATATTTAATAACAATACAATTTGGAAAAAAAAGTTTCCTGGTGATAATTAACTAAATCCTATAGATACAATAAAGCTTAAGACACGATTACATTGAAAGGACATGTGACCTCTTCAATAAACGTAAATTCTGTAGATGAACTGCTGATGCCTCTTAAAAGTCAGGGAGAGGATTTGCTGTGGTCTTGATCATACAGATAGAGCAAAGGTCATCAGGCTGCACCTAGCCCCCTGGGCAGAAAATAGGTCTTATATCTCTACCTTTGAATAGACAACCCTGCATGTTTAGCATTCCTGATTTCCCTGGTATTTATCGTGAGCACATGGACCTTGTGCCTCTTACAAGTAAGTACGCGACAATCATGGTAGGGAGTATTATAACAGACAAGCAGGCATGGTGCTGGAGCAGTAGCCAAAAGTTCACATCCTAATCCACAACATGGAGACACAGAGAGAGTGAATTGGTGTGACATGGTTTTTGAGACTTCAAAGCCAACCCACAGTGACATACGTCTTCCAACAATGCCATACCTGCTAATCCTTCCAAAAACCACTTTTGCCAACTTGGTACCAATCATTTAGATATATGGGATCATTTAGAGCAATCATTTAGAGCCTATGGGATCATTCTTGTTCAAACACCACAAACACATTCTCATTTCATTTTACATTTATCTTTAAATGTTTAATATATATGCAACTATAATTGAGCATTTATTAGTCTAATAATTTTTATAACTTAAAAAAATAAAATTATGTAAGATATTGCTCCAGTTTTCTCTCTGTGGTTATGACAAATGACATGACCAAAAATGGTTTATTTAGCTTATATGTTACACTTTATTATGAAGGACGATGGCACAGGAATTCTAATAGGAATCTGAAGCAGAAATCGTGGATGAACACTGTTTGTTGGCTTTCTTTCAAGTTTGTTTAGATAGCTTTCTTATACAGTCTAGGACCATCTGCCCTAGGGATAGTACTGCCCACAGTGGGATGGGTCCTTCCATATTAATTACCAATCATAGCAATCCTTCATAGACAAATACAGGCCAGTTGGATCTGGACAGTCCCTCCATTGAGAGTCTCCTCTTAGACGACTCTGGGTCATGTCAATACATATTTTTGTAGTATGTCAATACTACAGACATAGTAGGTATATCCTGCTTTTCTTGAAACTTTTTCAGGAATTTTTATAGTTTTGTATAAAGTGTTTAATTGAAAAGGATGACTAGAGATTTGTTGGCAAAAGGCTGCTTGTTTGTCTTGGCTGCCCAAACCCAAAATAAGCACATGGAAACTGTATTAATTAAAACACTTCTTGGCTTATTAGCATATTTCTAGCTAGCTCTTATAACATAAATTAACCCATTTCTATTAATCTGTGTGTCGCCACTTGGTTGTGGCCTACCAGTAAGGTTCTGTCCAGTGTTGGGCATCTATCTCCTGTGGCAGATACATGGCTTCTCCCTGACTCTGCCTACTTTCCTGCTATATCTCTTCAAGCCTGCCTATATTCAGCCCTAACATAGGCCCAAGCAGCTTCTTTATTCACCAATAGCAATAAAACATATTCACAGCGTACAGAGAGGAATCCCACATCAGAGATTCATTCAGCTTCAATTTTTATTGCATTTATGTTTATCATAGTATCTGTAAATCTGAATTTTAATATAGCAATAGTCAAAATAATGAGCTTAAAACTGTTTTCAAAGCCCATTGGAGAAATATTTTGTGTGTGACATTAGTCAAAAAGAAGTTAGGAAGGAAAATGATTGTTCTATTATATTCTTATTTCATGTGTTTGTCTTATTGTGAACAGTAGGCAAAAATTATAACTTTTTTTTAAAAAATTTAATTTTAGCCAAGTAATGGTGGTGCACATCTTTAATCCCAGTACCTGGAAGTCAAAGGCAAATGGATTCCTGAGTTCTAGGCCAGCTTGGTCTGCTGAGCAAGTTTCAGGACAGCCAGGGCTACACAGAGGAAGAACACAATAAATGAAACAAACAAATAAAAACAAACAAACAAAAATCAATTCTAAATTTAATTCTGGAAATGTCATAAAATTATAGAGATTTTAACTAGCATTTAAAAACTGCAAACAGTGGGCCAAGTGGTGGTGGTGCACACCTTTAATCCCAGCACTCAGGAGTCAAAGGCAGGCAAATCTCTGAGTTTGAGGCCAGGCTGGTTTACAGAGTGAGTTCCAGGACAGGCTCCAAAGCTAAACAGAGAAACCCTGTCTCAAAAGCAAAACAAAACAACTGCAAGCATCAGTGCATGGTTTTATCAGGTGACTTCATAGTGAAATCCTGTTTGCCCCTTCTGCTGGATCTTTGTCAAGGAGAGTGTGCAAATGGTTAGAAAAAGAAAGTGGGGTTGTGACTTTTTTTTTTTTTTTTCGAGACAGGGTTTCTCTGTAGCTTTGGAGCCTGTCCTGGCACTAGCTCTGGGTTGTGACATTTTTTATTTTGGATTTTTAGTGATGCATATAGGCATTATAGTCTATAAATATTTAAGTTTGCAAATTGTTGTCTTCTTGTTACTTCTCATATGACTGTTTCGTCATTTATTTTTCTCTTCCTCTTCTCACTTCCTCTTATTTGGCCTACAAATGTAAGACTACTGAAGGGAAGACGTCCCTAAGTGAGTGGAACAGTAAGAAACCATATGAGAAGTGGGGTAGAGGAACGAAACTAAAAATGTCCTCTTTCTACTTTTAAAAATTCTCACAAGGAAATAAAATAGTCAGGAAGCTGTAAGTCTCAAAAGAACCTCACACACCTTGGTGTTCAACGAATTATTTATTGCATTCCTTCCACAATCTGCGAAATGTTGTACTAGAGATAAGACAAATGAGTCACTGTTCACGCCCTCCAAAGGTTTTGAAAAAGCAAAAAAAAAAAAAAAAAAAAAAAAAGCTAGCATGAGAATAAAGGTGGCCACTGAGAACAATTTATAATTTATAATGCATGGGATAATTAGTGTTCTACCTAGTCTGAAAGAGATGTGAAGGGATTCTGGGAAGGGCTGCCCAAGTTGACCTAGAACAGATGAATAGATGCTAACAAGGGGTGAGAGAAAATTGAGGGTCAAGAGCCTCAGCCACAAAGGCAAATATACACCCACTGCCTGGGAATAACATTAGAGTTTTAGTATTGGGGTATATTTGACTGGAGTAAAAACCAAGGAAGAAAGTAGAGTGGAGTTAATTACTGAAGGATGGCTTATGCCAAGTGAAGACTCTTGAGCTTGATTACATAGTGATGGTAAGCTTGGAAAGGAATGAACAGATTTTCTGTGAAATGACTTCACCCAAAAAGTAGGTAAAGAGTGAACCTCCAGGAAGCAAGCATGCAGATTGCTGAAACAATATAGAAAGGGTGAATTTCACACTGCCCTGGGACAAAAGGAACATGCAAAACACCCCATTTCTGAGTGGCTAATGTGAACCGGTACTGGAAAGTCAGATTCTTACAACTTTTCATCCTATTGGTATAGCATGCTTCAGCCAAGAGCCAGGGGCCATTCTGTGGAGAGGAACTGAGTGTATGAAATCCATTTTTATAGCTGGAATGAAGATGGCTCCTTCTCTGTGGTACCCGTATCTGTGCTGGGCACTTGGATGAAATGTGTCAGTCTCTCTTACATTTCTGGCTCCTGTGGAAGAATACCTGAGAGAAACAACAATCTGAGAGAAGCAAAATTTCTTTGGGGCACCAGCTAGAGGGATACAGTTTAACTTAGCAAGAAACACAGGGTAGTTGGAGTCATCATAGGAAGTAAGAGCTGAAGGCACAGATACTTAACACATTGTTGAAAAAGAAGAGTTGACTAGGTGGACCCAGATCAGACTATAACCCTAAAGTCCACTCCCAGTAACCTCCTCTGTCCAGCTGGGTCTCACTTCCTACAGTTTCAATAGCGAGCACCACCACCATCCAGGGACCAAAGTTCAGAGGCGCGAGCCTGTGGGAGACATTCCACATCCTCTCCAAATGCGCTACACGAGAGCATGTTCTAAATGTGTGATGGATAAACACAACTTCTCAAAAATATAGCAATGTCACGGTTCTCTTACATGATCTTTCTGTGGGTGAGTGCAAAACTGTTTGCTGTTGTGTGTTGTGTCTGTGAGATGAATTTTTTTCTCAACTTGCCTTTGTTCAGTGCTGATGCACTAATTACTCCATAGATTTTTTAACTGATAATCATAGGTACATCTGGTGTTGGGAGTGAAATCCCTTTGAATTTTTAGCACACAGTGTCATTGATTCAGAGGTTCTACTTTTCCGAAGGAAACCGGGAAAACCATAGTGTTTATTAGTTTAAACCTGTTTCAAAAACACAGTCAAAATATTCAAATTTTATTATTAACTTAATTATTCTCCTTTTCGTTCTCCAATGAGTATTTCTTCTCTTCCTTTTTGTTTTCCATTTTCAGGAAAGAAAGAATTTTGGCATCGCCCTTCACCTCTCTTAGAAATAACAGCACATTTTAATCAGAGATTTGTAAGTATCCTTTCATGTTTCTCTACTAAAAAAATTAGATATTGACTCGGGGAAAGAAATAGCTCCTTTGTTTGACCAAATATAACCACACAATATGAATGGGCATGAAAATTTGAAAAATCGACCTTTCTTCAAAGACAGCAACAAAATATTATAAATGAAACCAAACACAATCAGAAATCATTTAACACATGTATGTACAACTAGTGAATACTGCATTTATTCTTTGGCCAATTCTTCTTTTTTGATGACATTTTCATTGTGTTTTTCTCTTATGTGTTTATGTTTCCACATATGGATGAGGCTGGCATGTTACATATTGATCTAATGAGGTACCTTATGTAAACATATTTTAGAAAGTTTATATCACAGGTAAGAAGGAAGAGAAAAAAAGAAAAGGTATGAATACAGGAAAGAGAAGAATGTTTATTCATTTAAAAGTCATATAACTCGTATTGTCCATGCTTAACAGTTTTAGTAGGTTTTTTTAAAAGCTCATGATGCATCTCACATAGCTAAGGTTTGTTCATTTCAACACATTTTTAAAAGCCTAGTACTGTGTTATAATAATTGTATTCAATGGGCCAGTTCTGGATCTGGCAATCTGACAGACCCATCATGTTCTACTTAGTGAAGAGTTGAAGATAAGCAAACATATTTACAGATGTGTTTTTAGGTAAATTTAGAGGAACCAGTAAGAGAAAAGCAAATAGAAATCTGTCCTCCAAATGTTATCTGTAATGATAGTATTTTTACTATTTATTGTTTGAAAGAAAACTGCGCGTTTAATAAGGCTATTTTTATTTATCACTAAAGCCATGATGAGTGGATATATATTAAGTTAGAGAATGCAGTTCCAGGGCATGGTGTAAAGAGAGATCAAAAAGCAAGGCCACTCACCAGCATTCTTATTAGCTGGGAAATCTAGACAGCATATGCCTGGGTTTCAGAGTAGAAAATATCTGTATTTGAAAGTTGTTGACCTGAAATGATCCAGCGAAATCCTTGAATCACTGTTACTTACTAGTTAATATTCATTTTATCTTGGCTAATGTATAGTTGCTATAATAGCCTTACCATTTGCAGGGTAGCCAATACAACCAGTCAATAGGCACTTGACATATTTCTAGCTGCCTCATCAGAAAAGTTTTAGCAAATCATTTATTTCAAAGGGTGTGTTCAGCTCTTAAATATTCTGTAGTGGTGTGATCTGTTTCCTAGTTATGTGAGACGACTTTGGGGTTCTAATCCATCTACTTATTAATTTTCTAATCTTTGGGAAATTAACTGAACTTTCTGATGATGTTTGGACAGTACAAGGCATGTTATGGAGTTGCTTCCATAGGTTGTGATAGGAACCAAGTGAAAAAAGAAGCAGTGCTACATAGAAATAAAATATGTCGACATTACTATCATATTTCCCCATCTTTCCTATGTCATTTTCATAAATTTTGAGCTTTTATCCTATGATGATGTTCCTTAGTAAACATCTACGAACTGTTTTATGTGTTAAGTTGGTCTCTGTGGAATCTTCGAGAAAACTGTTTCAGGACGGATGCTTGGCCACACTTCCCAGTGCTTTCAACGAACATCTAAGACTGGAAATGCGAAGTGATCTGTGTGCCAGACTTTGAGAAAGATGACTTTTCCTTTCATGGTGATTCTCGAACTACTTGGTCATTAATATTAAAGAAAATGTTTTTGTTTGGGTTTTAAGGAATCAGTGTCCCCAGATATTGTCCTCCTGAAATGTCCTGATTTAGCAGATTGAGTAGCAGTTTAAATTTAAAAAAAAAAAAAAAAAACTGTCTGATTTCTATATTTTGAATCACATCCTCACTTCATCCCTAGGTGTTGGGACAGAAAGCTAAAAAAAAAAAAAAAAAAAACTGTCTGATTTCTATATTTTGAATCACATCCTCACTTCATCCCTAGGTGTTGGGACAGAAAGCTATGCACATGTCTGGCCTGTGTAAGTAAGGGGATATATTTATGTTTGCCAGGTCCAGATTACGTGGAAGGAGTGAAAGACTTGTGTTGCGGGTGTCTAATAAAAGCCAGGAGTGAAACACACTAGATGGCAGAGTTTCTCAGCTAAAAAGGATTATGGATACTATCTAGTTTAAGTCTCTTACTCATGGAGGAGGGAAGTACCTTAACCATTTGCCCAAGGTCACAGCGGAAGAGAGGGATTAGAATTTCTGCCCCCAACTCCACTCTATTCCTGTTGTACTATTAATACTACTAGGCTGGCTCTGCCTCTGCCATTTCAGGAGCAGCTAACAAAGGTGAAACCAGTTTCTCTATTGCTGAACTGGACTTCTGAGCAGTCTTGCAGTGAAAAAGTAGAAAGTGCTCTTTGAGACAACATTTCTGTTCAAGTATCCATCTGCAAGAGTGTCTTCCATAGGAACATCACTTAGCAAGGACGCATCTGAGACCCAAGAGGGGCAGGCTGTGTGTCTCATGTCCACCTCTACTGTTGCTGTCCTGCCTCTTATGCTGTGCCTTTTCTCAAGGTCCCTGGCTGTGCTTTTTTCTAAGAAAGAAAATCCAGGAGGAAGACCATGTGTTTAAAAAGAGATGAACACCTCTCAAGATGAGTGGAAGTGACCAGCTAACCTGTCCTGGGTTGTCACAACATTAATGGGTTGTCTACACTGACCCCACATGCATTGTCACACGTGGTTTCCTCAGATTTGGGAGGTTTTGTTTTGTGTCTAAGCAGAGGTTTAGACAGCTTATGTGCTCACCTAAGGTTTTATTTAAGAAACAGAAGCACCAAGATCAGGTGACAAACCGTTGCAAAGCCTGTGGATCTCATGTATTGTCACTGATTGTTTTTAGCTCTGCCACATATAATTCTGTGAAAACAGGTCAATTTTAAATGCAAATCACTTGAGATTTTATGGATTGTTAAGTAGGAGACATGAGCTACGTTGTTAATTATGCTCACCTTTCCTTTAGACTACTGGAATGTTCTCTAAACTCTTAAATTTTAAGAACACACCAGCATGCCTTAGGGATCATCTGTCTCTAATTCACTAACTCTGGAATTACAAGTGTATACCACCATGCCTGACATTTATTTAAACGTGGGTTTTGGATATTCAGCTCAGATTCTGGTGCTGAGAGAGAGGGCTGAGTTATCTCTTCGGATCCTGTAAACTCACTTTTTTATTTGCATGTGTGTTTATGTGTATGTGCCATATATGTGTGTTCATGTGAGTGTGTTTATGTGACAAATTACTCATGGATTATCTCATTTTGTTCTGATTGGCTGCCTTTAACCACATCCATTAGTTCATATCAATTCCAGTAAATCGTAGAAAAGAAAGTGGACTATGTATGTGATCATCTAGAGCAGAGGGACATGCAAATTTCTTATGTAAAATATAGATCACCATCTTAAAACAGATCTACTAAAATATTTCTAAACATTTCAAAATTCTATAACACACTTGTTAATTTTAATATCAATGGGTCACCTTCATAGGTCACTAAAATGTATTGTGAAAAAGTTGTTATTTTTTTCTCCATCACAGGATCATTGTAGACAGTACAATCCAGTGTACTAAGGAGGAGATAATGCAAAAATGTGAGCAATAAAAAAGAGTTATAGTTTTTAAAAGACTACAAATTTCATGTATAGTGCTAATTATTATGTGTATATAAAAATAGAGAGATGAATAACCTAACTATGTTTTGCAAATAAATCTGAAGGTAAGTTTAAAAAGGATTAAATGAAAAAGAAGAATTTTAGATTCTAAAGCAAAGTGTCCATCTTATTTGGCCTTATTTGAAAAATACTGTGAATACAAAGAAATACTTATTTCCTGCTATAACTAGTTTGTTTTAATATTGAAAGATACCTCCGAAACATGTTTCAAGTTATATAAACCTTTCTAGATTTACTGTGGAACTGGCTTAGAATTTTAGTCATGGCAATCAACAGTACTTTAGATTTTAGAGGCTCTGTGAGGAGATGGAAGGAACATCAGCTTTCTCTCTGTGACCCATAAACATTTGCTGAAGAATGTTATGCATGATTGCATTTAAAAAAGAAAAATTTGAGCTCTTATGCTGTTTTTCATTCTTCCATATGCTGGACTAGGGGCTACTGAAAATGCCAGAAATGTTCCTCTTTGCATATTTGCACATAGTCAGAGTCTCACAGACCCCGGCATTTGAGGATTCCAGGCTTTCTGAAATCCCTGTTTTCTAGGGCACAGTGTGTATCTGGGAATTTAAAACTGAACTCCTCTTGGACTAAAAGCCTCAGGGACAATGGACTGATGACAAGGGAATTTGTACCAGAACATTTTCATTCAACCCAAATAAGAGCCATCGTGCACATGATAATTATAAGCTTATGCTTTTGATGCAAATAAGATATAATTTTAGTAAAAAGACTTCAAAATTCTAAACTGTTAAGGTTATTACAGTTAGTATATTTAGTCCATAGGTCTTAAAATGAAAACAAATTTATTTTCAAATGCTTGGCACTTAATTAGACTGTGGTTTAGCCATTTTGTTCTTTCTTAGCATTCTCCTGTTTCCGATGAGTGGCTAGAAAGTCTAGGTTTGATTCAAGCAGGTGTGTGGAACACAAGTTTCTTAGGGTTTCTATTGCTAAAATGGGACACCATGACCAAAAAGCAAGCTGGGGAGGAAAGGCTTTCTTTGGCTTACACTTCAGCATTGCTGTTCGTCATGGAAGGAAGTCAGGACAGGAGCTCAAGGAGGGAAGGAACCAGGAGGCAGGAGCTGATGCAAAAGTCATGGAGGAGTGTTGTTACTGCCTTGCTCCCCATTGATGGAGGAAGTTCATCTGTCTACTTGTTATTTTCATTGGTTAATAAAGAAAGTGCCTTGGCCTTTGATAGGACAGAAAATTAGATAGGCAGAGTAGACAGAATAGAATTCTGGGAGAATAAAAGCTGAGTGAAGCAGTCGCCATAGCTCTCCTCTCCAAGATGGACGCAGGTTAAAATCCTCCC